GTGCTTCATGGTGGATTAGAGACAACCAAGATTCTCATGAAAATTCATCATACATTTTTGTGTGAATTCCTCAATAAACACATTTCTGACTAGCATACACATTTTTGCAAGCAGTTGCCCTTACTATAATGTATTTTTGTATCTTAGTTTCACTAATGTATGTATTTGAATACACATTTGCCTAATATTTGCATTTTTGTGCACATTGTTTGACTGGAGAACAAAATTGCAAAATTTGGATCAGGATGAATTTTGGAGGATAATTTTGCTTTCATTCGTCTATTGGCTCAAAAAGTGTAAATTGGATAGTTTCGAAGAAGAAGAAGAAGAAGAAGAAGAAGAAGAATTTCTCCCCTAACCGCGCGTGCTGATATCAACCAGATGTACATGTACAGATGTACAACCAGTTGTTCAAGTAGCTACCACCACTTCTATCCTTGTTAACCTTCACTCTGGTCAGCAGAGAACCCTACAGCTGTGGAACCCATTAATTGGGCAAGGTAACACACCATCCCACACCATCTCCACAAGATAGTGATCTGCTTACATTCTTCAGTTATAGCAGGTGGGCTATCAGTTTTATGATACATAATGGCAGAATGGTACTTTAACAAACCCATTGAAGATTAGCTAGACCATGGGAAACTGTTTGACCATAAACTAATTACTCACATAGGCAGTTATCACCTGGTAAGTAGATCCCAACATGTAGTAGTGTTGGATGGTCCCTGGTGGGGGACAAAAGATGGCAGTCACCATATCAGATGCTGATGGTGTCTGTGGCCAAGTGGACTGTGATTGACAAAGCTGCAATGTGGGGCTCTGGTTGTGTACTCTGTAGGGTAAGCAGAATTGCTCTCATAGAATGGGATGGGGGTATGGAACTGAGGACATGGTATGTCTCAAAGAAACAGGCTCCAGCAGAGCAGATCTTCTTGACAGAATCCATTTTACAACATCCCCAGCTAGCATGGCTAATAGATGCTGGGAGATATAGCCCCCAGTATCTGGAGTCATATGTTCCTCACCTTTGATCTGATTTATTTACAGAATTGGCCATGTCTTACATACTGTACTGCTTTATATATTTCTCTGGTCTTCATCTTGCCTATCCTTAGCTCAGCCTAGGGAAATATACTCCAGTTTATTTACCATGGATTGAAAGACTCTTCATATATTTTAGGTAGCAATCCTGCAAACATTTATCTAGCTGTAAGTCTCACTGAACTCAGTGGGCTATATTTCTGAATATACACAGATAGGATTGCACTGTTAAGTCACTTCTGGATGGCTAATAGGATTTTTGAGAATGCTGAGGACAGATTCCCCACCTTTAGTATAAGCAGAAATTATTTAAATGAGTAAAACATAGTGTGTAATCTATGCTAATAACTGAGGAAATGTGATGGGGTTCGGGAGGTATTCCAGATTATGAGTATCTGGTGAGGCTACTGATGGAGCATTGCTGAGACTGGGCCACAACTGGGCAGAGCAGGTGCACTGATGCAAAAAGTTTCAGGTTCAATCTTTTATTTGCTAGCTAGCACCAATTGCAACATCTGTGCTTGACAAATAATTAATAGCAACAGTTATTTGGCTCTGGGGAGTTTCTTGAAGTACCGTAGCTGGGCTCTTAATGGATCTTGCATTCTAGCACTCCCGCTGAATTACAAGACTATTCACACCCTTCTATCCTCTGCAGTTAATGTGCTTTCTCCCTGCCGTCTTTTTATCTTTACACAAAACTCTTCTAATGTGCAGTGTCTCCCTCTGTCCACGTACATTAGTTTAAAGGCAGTCTATGGATTTAGTGTTGCTTTATTGTTCCTTCTCTCCTTCTTTCCTCATGTACCATCGAAAAGGCAGGGATGACCTTTCCCACATCGTCTCTTTAGATGTTTATTTCTGAATAGTGCTGCCTGCTCAAAGAGAACTCTAAGGCAGATCTCCCCCGTGAGGGGCCTCTAAACAGCTGCCTGCTACATCCCCCCCCCCCAATCTTCTTTCTGGCAAATCTCTCCAGCACCTCTGCATTGATGGGGTAGCACTAGAGACTACCTGTTGAAATATGGACAGGCAGGCTAGAGAATGCAACTGGTAAATTCTAGCAGGTGTACTGCAGCTGAGGACCTGTGTAACATTTATTGCTAAGATATAAATTAGCAATGCTTGGCTCCCTTTAAATCATATCTCAGTAGTTTCTCTTAAATATTTATCATTATAAAGTTCTCATCTGTATTTCTTATTTGGTGGGCTTTTCAATAAACGCAGATGAGAGTTGTGTAGCTAAAATACATTTAATGGCTTGGTGTGTCATTAGGAATGGTTTGGCCTTTGGGAGGAAGAGATCAGTCTATTTCTAAGCCACGTGTTCTATGTATCTGTTCAGTCATAGGTGTGTCCCATCCCATGCTGAGTAATTCATTTCGTAAAGCACAAAATACATTTACACGATACACATTTCCTCCCTATTATGCACAGTTTTGTATGCATTAGGGACTTTATGGCAGGTAAGAAATCAGTACCACCACCATTTTTATTACTAATTTTGACCAAAATGTGTGCCACAAAATTACAAGGAGAACATAGCCTGAAAGATAATTGCACTTCAATCTATGTAATCATCTAGGAAGATGACATTCAGGTCACTTTAACATATGAACTAAAGTAATGGCCCCGCAGCCATATTTGGCCTTATATAGCAAAGCTTCCTTTACTTCTCTGTCCTCCAGTTACGCATGTTACTCATACAACTGATCCAATGAACAATGATTGTGCTCATCTTCTAAATTGCTGTTGCAAACCTATAATGGCTTCCAATTCCAGTTTGGAGAGCCAGGCATATAAGGCAGCCGAGATGAGGCTGGTGACTGGGGTATAAGCTGCTGATGTGAAAAATGTACTCTCCCCACCCCCAAATCAAGGAAAGTTGGTTCTACTTGCTTACATTGTTCTGAGACGAGATTTAGAGAAAGGAGCATTTGAAATGGCTCTCAGTAGGTGAACCATTGCACTTTCACCCAACACAGTCTATTTCTTTACCTCCCGCTCAGCTTTCAGACAACATCTGTACTGCCCATGTGTCTAAAAGTGTTTGAAATGGGAGGGGAAATGAGAAGGAAAGAAGAACCCCAAAAAGTTTAATGCTACTATTGGGAATTATCTTTTTTTTTTATGTGTAGAGGTATTTGCCTTACAAAACACTGCTAGACCAGAAAGTAGCTAATCTGCTTCACATTTAGGCTTGCAAAGCCTCACACCATTTGCCAGAATGTAGGTACATGCTGAGAAAACTTAAAATAACTGGCAAGGTATTGTTATATTGCTGTAAAATTTGAATATTGTTAAAGTCATTTTTAAACATTTTTATTCATCAGGTGAATACTTTTTCATAGTTTGGGATATCTGAGGTGACTTTCTTTCAAAACCATTGTGCATTTTGTCCATGAAAAGCCTAATGCAAAGTAAATTCCTTTCCCCTAAACACACATGAATTTGTCCAAGGCACAAATATAATCTACTTGGAAATTATTCATGGATTCAACAATGACCTTATCTGACAGAGCAAGGGGTGAAAGCAAAACCTCTCTCACAGCTTTATCTACATAAGGCCTTCTGAACACCCCAGAGCTGTAGCTAAGAGGATCAAGCTTTCCTTGCATTTAAAAGGGGGGAAATGAATTCTGATCAGCCTTAAATTTCATTTCTAGAGCAGGGATACTGAACCTGTGGTTCTCCAGGTATTCTTAGACTCCAACTCCCATGAGCCCCAGCCAGCATGGCCAATGGTTATGGAAAATGAGAGTTGGAGTCCATCTGGAGGGCCACAGTTTCACCATCTCAGAGGTAAACATGTTAAATGATCTCAGGCAGTAGGGCTAGAAAACGAAACCTTGTAATTCTGCTACCAGTTAAGACTTGGTAGAACTAGTCTAGATGAATAGGGCATTGGTGTAAGGCATTGCTATTGCTTCATATTCTTTCCTCCCACCTTTTGACAGTTTCATAGTAACTCAAACAATACCTTGCTGAGGCAGACCACAATCCACAGCCCAATACACCCAGCAAAGTCATTTTATCATTTCCAGAATAAGGATATAATGGCCCAACTCACTACGCTGATGCAATGAGCAGACAACATTTATGGGGAGCACCATGAAGGAAGAGGGGTCTGAATGCTGTTGTGAGATGGCTCTCCACAAGTTAATGCTGCTGTGTGGAGGATACATTTCTTATATGGGAAGCATACAGCTTTTGTGTGTGCACATTGTAATGTGAGAAGAATTTGTCTGTGTTTGTTGCCATGTATGTCAATGAGTGGAAATAGATTGGCAGTGTGTATAGGCTGCAAAATACATGTTTGTTCCCATTACATGAGAGAGGGGAGTATGTGATCATGCCTACATACAGGTGGTACCTGTATGTAAAGACCCTTGGTTGGGGGCATTTGAAAGTGAAAACTAGGGATGTAGAAAGCAAGTTTATCACATTTAGATGGGCAATTTTTTTTATATGGTATTGGAAAATTATTTTATCAGCAATCTTGATCCCATTGTGTGTCAAATTGTGCTAACAGTACACCTCTTCCAAAATGAGACAAGATTCTAATATTCAAACGTCAGTTTCAAAGTTGATCAGGACCACTAGCCTAATTTTAACGTTAGCAGACTTCACATAATGCTGACTTCTACCAGTGTCACTCTAAATTTAACTAGCTGCATTCTGAAGTTTCCATTGTGTAAGTGCATCCCCTTTTCTTAAATTATGCCTCATCAAGCAAAATTAATCTACTGTTATGCACTTGGTAAAAGGGCATTGCCTTTATGAATTTGGATGCAAATTCTTCCTGCTGAATGATGGCATCTAGCAGTGACTTTTAAAGGCCTGCCACTGGAGTCATGTTCTAAGCACAATATGATTTAAATAACTTCAATCACTGTAAGTTATATTGGTCTTACATAAACAACGCAGGCACATTGTTTCTAAAACTAGCTGAATCCTTTTTTTTTTTTTAATGATATTTATTGGGGGAAATTTTTTTTTTAAATTACACAAAAAAAGACAAGACAGAAAAATAAAAATAAAAAATAAAACCATCATTCTCAAGTTCTCCACTTTCAATACCTTCTTTCTTTGACCTCCTCCTCCTCCCTTTTCTTGTATCCTGATTAATAATAATCGCAGCAAATCCTTTCCATATTTCATAGTATTCTGTCATTACATTACCTTAATCTATTTTCATCTTATCTTATAGAAAACCTTAAAGTTTAAAACTTAAATCTTATTTTTACCAACTTCTCCTAGCCATAACATTCTTACCAAATTCTTTAAAATTTTTTACAAGAGCCAAGTAATTTCATTTCAACATTTTTCTAGCATTCATCAATTTTATAGAACAATCCTAATGATAAAAAAATAAATAAACAATCCAATCTTCATCCAGCGTCCCTTCCTCCTGGTCCCGGGTTTTGTCAGTCCTTTTTATCTTATTAATCTAGCACATTAACCTGGTAATCTTATATCCGAAGCCCTCAAGTCTCTTCCATGTGCCTTCCGCAGCTCTTCTTCATATTTTCCTTTCATTCGTGGGAACTCCAGCTTGGTAATGTTTTTGACCCTTTTCAACAAATCAGCCCCTTTTCCATAGTCCAGACTAGACTCCAGGTGGTATTTAAAAACATGTTTCAGATTCCCTCCAAAATTAAGAGCCCCCACAGCTCCAAACATCTGGCGGCCCATTGCCAGACTCGAAAAGTCCAAATCTCCCTGTATAGGGGGGTCTGTCCAACCCCCCATTTCCAAACCAAACCAAACTTTGTCTTTCCAAGTCTGGTATTTTCCAAGTTCATTTATCAAATCCAAAAATTTATGTTCCTGCTGGGCCACAGCTCCCTCTGTCTCTGGCGCCCAAGATTCAGCAGCATCCTCTTCTCTCAACTGTTCTGTCATGGCACACTCCTGTTTTAGCTCCTGGGTGGGCTCCATATAATTTCCCACTACCTGTTCAAAGGTTCTGGCCGCATTAGTCATCAAATCCGTCTTCTGGCTTAACTGATCCAATAGGGCATTTATTTTGCAGAGAGCACCCAACAGTGCTTCTGAAGACATTGTCCTGCAAGGTCACAAATCCTTTCCCACGGTTGTAATCTGTGGCAGCTGCAAGCTCCCAGGAATTAGTTACAATTTCACAGTCCCCCTCTAGGGGGAAATCTTCTGATTGTTCTTTCTTTTAAAAACAACAGCAACAAAGTTTCTTTTTTAAGGTATTTTGTCCATATTTGTTCTTTTTAGAATGCGAAAGGAAACAATGGAATCACTATGTTTCTCTTCTTTTAACTATCTGTCAAAGACATTTGTTTCTGGTCAATGAGCTTCAAACGTCAATTCTGACACCCCGCTCCACGATCAGGACGGTGGAAAATTACTTTGCTTTAAACTCACTTCTGCAGGTTTAAACAGCCCAAAAAAGATCCCCCTACTTCTTCTGCTGCCGAAGGGGGGGTTCAGCGATTTTAAATGATGAAAGCCAATCCTTTGAAAGTGATTTTTAAAGCTCTAGTTTACGTTGTCTTTGCTTTATTCTGGCTACAAGGAAACGGAAGGCTGACTTCCTGTTTAGACCTTCCCGTTTCAGTACCAAATTAAGGTAAATTTTTAAGTCCAAATTCCTTTCTATTTCGCCAGTTCTTATTTAAAGTCCAAATGTTCAATGTTCCAGTACTCACGGGTGGTTATTTTAGATGCCAAATTGTCCCAGGAAAAGGCAGCGCTCTCCGGCAACGGCTATGTGGCTTCGCTCCGCAGAAAAGCAATTGACTCACAGCACCACGCCACTTCCCCCTCTTCGCTTCGGAGCCCGTTAGTGGGTTCCTTTGCGGGTTGGGGGGGCGCTAAGGGTGCCCGCCGAGTCCCACGGTCACAGGCTTCATCCGCCTGTGATTTCCAGAAGGGTCCCTGCTTCGCCGTAGCGGAAAAGACCCGTTTCATGTGGAGCTGGTCCCTCCAGTTCAGAGGGAGTCCGCCATTGCCGATGGCGCCACCCCGGAAGTCCTCCTAAAACTAGCTGAATCCTAAGGGTGTCAGTGTTGGATGGAAAGTTGTAAGTTGGCAGGATTTCTAAAGTCACGAAACAAATTTTCAAGCTGCTTTCAGATCTTCAGATTCAAATCCCCCAAAGTAATGTGCACAGCTGTATTGTTCACAATACAAGAACCTTCCTTTTTTCTTAGCCAAAATATCCCAGACAGCATTGATGAACGTGGTCAGCCACTTTTGAATTGTTACCCTTTCTCACTTCAAGCATCTCCTTCCCTTGTACTCAGTCACTCTTTGATTTCTTCCAGGGCCAACTGCACAGAGATGGCATAACCAATTTCCCACAAATATACCGTGCTAAAAGCATGTCACAGCACTGGGGCCAGTTCAGGTGTAGGTGGGTGAGGATCAAAATAGATGTCACCACAGGTAGTCTGAAGTTCAAGCAATGGATCGGGGAAGTGCAGGTGAAGGGCCAGAGGCACTGAATGCACACTCAGACCAAGGTAGAAGATGTAGCTTCAAGGCAGGAATAAAGACTCAAAGGTCCAGATGTGAGGCCAAATGCCATAACGGCTCATAATCTGAGGCTAAAGTCCAGAAACAGCTGTAGGCGAGTAGGCAGTGTCCTTACACTGAAAACAAGTTGCTAGGACCCTGAATACAAAACTTTTTATACATCCTGGTTAGCTTGGAGAGTCAGCTGACAGTATTCAAAGTGGATAGTCTCCTGATCTTTTTTAAGATGGAACTGTAGCCTGGAGATTGCTCTTTCCCCAGTTGCTTAGTCCTGGGGTAGCCAATGTGGTACCAGCCAGATATTGTAGACTGCCACTCCCATCAGGCCCAGCTAGCAAGGTCAATTGACATGAATGATGAAAGCTGTAGGCCAAGGCACAATGCTGTCTATCCATGGTTTAGTTTGCCTGGCCTCCAGAGAACCCACTGTGTTGGTGGTGCAGGAGGTAAGGTAATGAGAAAGGTAAATTACTTTACAGAAAAGCTTATAATTGCTTATTATAGAAACTGATTACTCCAAGCTTGTTTTATGTTTGTGTTTGAGGGAACAGATGATTGCAATAGGAAAACAGAATGCTGACCAATGTGTTCCCAAATGATGCCATAAAGGTAAAGGTAAAAGGACCCCTGACCATTAGGTCCAGTCGCGGACGACTCTGGGGTAGTGGTGCTCATCTCGCTTTATTAGGCGAGGGAGCCAGCGTACAGCTTCAGGGTCATGTGGCCAGCATGACTAAGCCGCTTCTGGCAAACCAGAGCAGCACATGGAAATGCCGTTTACCTTCCCGCTGGAGTGGTACCTATTTATCTACTTGCACTTTGACGTGCAACAGGAGCTCACCCTGTCGTGGGGATTTGAACCGCCAACCTTCTGATTGGCAAGCCCAAGGCTCTGTGGTTTAGACCACAGCGCCACCTGCTCGCTTATGTCATACAGGTGCTATAAACTATCAGTGTGTTGTGTTCATTGATGAACAGGCTACAGACTACTGGCTACAGACCACCCCATGTTTTATACTCCCCACTGAATCACTTTATAAGTGATTCAATCGTGGACTGATCCAAAGAGTGAAAATTTCAAACAGGCCAATTCTCTTTGGGTTGGATCCAGACTTCAGTGTTTCCTTCCCACTGAAGTCAGTGAGGTTTACATCATAAGTAATTGTTCAGATTGATTTCAGTGGGACCCAACTGACTCTGAATCCATCCTGTTTTCATGTTCCACAATTAGACCTCATCCATCTATGAACTTCTAATGTGATTGGTTATCTAAGGTGTTATTGTTGTTAATAATAATCTATGCTTTGCTCCCACCCGTTTTCAATGCTAAATACCTGTTGTACAGAGTTATATGGGTATCAGCAAACATGGACTGTGCCAGGTAAGATGGTCTTGCTAATCCTGCAGTGTTCCATTTGGACACAATGGTGCCCTGAACCAGTACACTGATGTCAAAAAAACCTGCCTAGAAATGTTTTTCCCAAAAGCTCCAGAATGGACCTCTGCCTTTCACAATGCCAAAAAAAAAAAAGAAAAAAAGAAAAAGAAGTGTATTCAAATAACATATAGAAATCTTGGACTGTTTTACATTTAGACGGATTTGTTTCTGGATAGAAAAGTATAGTAAAGATGCTCTGAGTTGTTTGATTCCCACTTATCTTTTTCAGCCAGAGGTTATTAAAGACCATCATTAGTGTAACCTAATGTACCAAGGAATTTAGCATACATGTGCCTTGCTTCATGGGGGCTCATAGCACTGAAGGATTTGTTTATGATGGGCATAAATTATTCTCCCTGTCCAGGATAAATAGGATTGATATAAGTGCACCTGAGACAATAATGTGGCTACCAGTGTGCTTTCCTTCTGTTCATGAATAGATCAAGACAGAGGTGAAATAAATTCATGCAGAAGTTTAGCCAATGGCATGTGAAGTTACTAAAGGATTCTAGGCACCATTATTTAACTCTTGGCATATTCACACACACACAAATGAGATGAACATGATATTTAGATAATACTAGCACCAATTATCATTTTAGAATTCATTTTTGCATATGCACCCTGCAAATTCATCTGCAATGGTTTTTAGATAGTGTTTCAATAAACCATGGGGTTTCTCATAAGCCTATCAATACCACTACACATTAAAAATGATAGTAAGACTAACAATGGCTTATAAGAGAGCTTGTTCAGATAGAGGACTGCCTTTTGTAAACCAGGACATATGGTTACTCTAAAACAAATGTCAATTTAGTCCAGCACCCTACTTCCTATGGCAACCAAACATATGCCTAGAGAAGCCCACAAGTCCTCTTGTTGCTCCACTGTAATTTCAACATGGGGTTTTGATATTGCCATCATAGCTTGTAGACATTAATAGATTTATCCACCATGATCTTGTGTAATTCTCTTTTGAAAGTCAACTAAGCTAATTGTTATCATCTATTATTATTATTATTATTATTATTATTATTATTATTAACATTCTATACCACTCTTCATCTGAAGATCACACACCAGTTTAAAAGGCCATAGATAGACTAATTAGCCAAAGGTCTGGAGGAAGAGGAATGTTTTTCCTGGTGCCTAAATATATGTAACAAAGGCACCAGGCAAGTATCCCTGGGAAGAGCTTCTCACAAGCAGAGCGTCACTGCAGAAAAGGCCCCTTGTTGTGTTGCCATTCTTTGTACCTCTTGTGGAGGAGGCACACGGACAAGGGTCTCAGATTATGATTGCAGGTTCTGGGTTGGTTCATATGGGGAGAGATATAACCTGTGGCAGCAAATGCCAAATAATAATTATGCACTTCATGAAGAAGCACTTCCTTTTGTTTGTCCTAAATCTCTTTCTTCCAGTTTCATTGGATGATCTCAGGTTCTTGGGTAGAGAAAAATGCCTCTGTATCCACTTTCTCCACACTGTGCAAAATTCAAAAAACGTCTTAGTTGTAATTCCTCCCCCACTAAAAACCTCCAATATTGTATGTTTTCCTCATAGAGAAGATGCTGCAGTCCACAGATCATTTTGTTTGTCTCGAGACAGTTTCTTTTGCCTTTGGTGGCTTGTAGATCAGGCTCTTAAATTCACTGCCCATAAACTCTTGTCTGCAAATAGGACATTCAGGTTTCTTCTCGTAACCACAACTGCAATAAAATTGCTTTCGAACGTATCATTTCATACAGCACCATTTCAAAATGAATGATTTTGTTTTGCTGATGTCAAACTAATGTGGGTTGATCATATTGGCAGTGCATTCAATATAGACTTTGATGTGCAACTTTAAGACAGGATACTTTAAATTTAGTTGCAAACGGGGAAGATGGTTCTGAAGTCCAATTTTTTTGTTGCTCAAATGACACAGTTCAAAGCCATATAGATGGCTATCTTAAATGGGAGCAGATGGAGGGAAATCAAGGTAATTGGCATTGATTTCTTTTTTTGAATGGCTAGAATAGGAATTTAGTTCAGACTGGCTTGAAAATAAATTATAAATGTCCTGGTGGATGTTCATGCAAAATCCTCATCTGCTGATGCTGTGAATATGTAAGTTGTGTTCACTGCCTTTTTCTTTTATTTTTATTTTTGAGGTGGTTTTGAGAAAACTGATTGATGGAGTGTGGTTGGATGCAAACCTATCAAAGACAATCATGTTAGAATCATAGTTATTTTGGGGGGAGTTGGAAGAGACCACGAAAGTCATCTAGTCCAACCCCCTGCAATGCAGGAATCTTTGCCCAACATGGAACATAACATGGCAGTTATTTTGTATGCCTCATTGTTAAGGCTGCAATCCTGTACACACTTACCTAAAAGTAAGTCCCATTAAATACTGAAGTCCGGTTAAATACAGCGATACCTTGGGTTAAGGACTTAATTCGTTCCAGAGGTCCGTTCTTAACCTGAAACTGTTCTTAACCTGAAGCACCACTTTAGCTAATGGGGCCTCCTGCTGCCGCCGTGCCGCCAGAGCGCGATTTCTGTTCTCATCCTGAAGCAAAGTTCTTAACCTGAAGCACTATTTCTGGGTTAGCAGAGTCTGTAACCTGAAGCGTATGTAAACTGAAGCGTATGTAACCCGAGGTACCACTGTACTGATATGAGACTTACTTCCCTAGGTGACTCATATACAGTACCTGAAAAAACACCTGCTCTAGTCACCTGATTGGACAGGTTTAATAGATGCCCTTTTCAGGGTACCACAGTTCTCCATGATGTGGTGATTTGTGAGAGGACCTTCTCAGTATTGGCACCCCACCTCTAAGTTGTGAGAAATACTAATATTGTTGCAGTTTTGATGCTAGCTAAAAACATGTCTATTCTTCCAAGCATTTGGCTTAACTGATGCACCTCGTTTGAGGTAGTTATGTTAGCATATTGTCTGGGTTTTTTTACATTAAATTTCATTTAAATGAAATATTATGTCATTGTATTTTATTGTTGTTTCTTTTGCTGGGGTTATGTGAACAAAGCAGTGTGAGTTATAAATAATTTAAATAAAAAACAAAAACAAAATACATAATAAAGAGACCACAAGGTTGGGTTATAAAGCAGATAGTCTTATTATATATATATATATAAACCCCAAACCAGGGCTTTATAATATCAAATACACAGTCGCCTCTGATCTATTTCTAGAACGTGTGTGTGTGTGTGTGTGTGTGTGTGTGTGTGTGTAAAATATGGGAAATGGCTGTTCCCAGATGGATTGGCAACCTAGATAATGCAAGATTCTCCCCGTGAGAATGAGATGGGAGTGGGGGAATAAATATAAAGAGACTAAAAAGTATAGCCTGCTTCATCTTTTTTGTTTTGTTTTCATTGTAGCGAAGAAGAAATGTAGCCTAGATGTTGAATAATTAACAAGAGCAAGTTAGTGTTAATCAGTTGCTGTAATAAAAATGCAAAATGTAAGAGGGAAGAAAATGAGACACTGTGGTAAATGCCCTGTTCTGGCTTATTTGGGAAAGTGTAATGTTTAGAGTTTGTTGCAATGCCTGTGAATGTGTCAGTTATGTATATATTATTAGAAGCGAAGATGACACTCTTCCCCACCACCACACACAGACCAACAAAGATTGTAGCAAACTGATACTAAAGCAAAACACTGAGTGTTAGGCAAGTTTTTCTGAATAGGAAGATTGTGGCATTTTGGCATTCAAGGGAATCATTACATACATAGTTTCAATGCTGTATTGTTTTCCATACTTGGTTTCATATATGAAATATATGATTTCATATAAGGCCTTGTCCATATCTGCTAAGATCTCCTGTGCATGTAGTTTGAGTTCCTTGAGCCACCAAACCAATTTATGGGTCATTAGCACAGAGATAGCCAACATGGTGCCCTCCCACTGTTGTTCAACTCTGACTCCAATGAGCCTCAGCCAGCATGGTTAATGCTGGGAGGGATGATGGAAATTGTAGTCCAACATCAAATGGAGGGTTTCACTTTGGCTACACCCGCACTGGGAGAAATAGCAGGGATATTTTAAGTGGTGTTCAGCTGCATTTTACTCACAGTAGACCCAATGAAATTAAAAGCCCTAACTAGTTATGTTCACTAAGTTTTAAAATGTCTATTATATTGTGCTTGTAGAAGCCAGTGTAAAGACAATGAGGCATTTCCCCCTGTCCTCCTCCCAACATCTGCCACAAATCCAGCCCATATGTTGAGCCCACATGTTGTCATCACAGAGACAGAACTCAACTAAATGGACCAATGATTTGACAAACTATAAGAAAGCATCATTTGTTCAGATATATTTACCCATGGTGAACAAACAGCCTATACTCCCAGACAGGCATAGGCAAACTCGGCCTTCCAGATTTTGGGGACTACAGCTCCCATCATCCCTAGCTAACAGGACCAGTGGTCAGGGATGATGGGAGTTGTAGTCCCTAAACATCTGAAGGGCCAAGTTTGCCTATGCCTGCTCCAGGACATTCCACTTTTAATGCACCTAATGTGCTAGGACTCATTGAACCCCTGGCATAGAAAACTAGTTGCAGGCTTACGCTCCACCTCAGAACAAGCCCTTCCAGGTACGGTATTTGCATACCCACGGTGCCTGCTAAAGTTTCTCAAAAATAAGTAATGACATCAAAATATATGCTTGGTCAAAGCAGATATATACATGAAAGCAACAGCTTAAAGTGGCAGTTCATTAGATGTTTAGTTGGCCATAATGAAACTTGAAGAATAGGTCAGCTGCCCATGTTGATGGCCAAGCATAAATTGGGCATGGAAAACCTTGGCTACTGTGTAATTACTTTGAGAAAGTTGCAGTGCTTCCTCAGTCGGACTTCTGACTCCATTAGAAAGCCAACATAAACACTTCACCCTCTGCTTATTTCTCACAGGGGTAATGCGTCAAAATTATGGGCTTAATCATTATTAATGCTTTTGATATTTATCAATTGCACTAGCATTAATCATGATAAACACCTCTGGTATTAATGTGGGTGTCATTAGTATAGCACTTCAAGTTTTTCTACTGCTGCTCAGCCTCCATTAACTGGACCATTAGTTACAAGGTGTTACCTTTTGCGTAAACAACTCCATGTTTCCTGTGGTGTGTGTGTGCATGTGTGTGTGTATTTTAAGCCTTGCAGTTTTTCATGACCTTTATATGATGCAGTAGGGTAGATTGGATATATCACACATATATTGTGAGTTCTCATGGTATGCATGTGAGAGCAATGAGTGAAATTGCTATGCTGAATCTGGAGCAGCTTCTCATGTCAATCCACCACCTGATCGCCATTTTAATATGTTTGCCATGTGGTTAGTGAAAATATATAGCACCAAATCAATCTCAGAGTGGCCTCAGGGAGAGAGATTACAAGACTCATTCCAGCCACATGGAAATGTTCTTAGTGGAACATTAAAGAGGCAATGAAGGCTTAAGCTGGTGATTTGTTTGGAATGATAAAGGAGTGGTATGAGGAATCATACCACTCCTTTAACATTGCTGAAGTTGTTTAATAGTGAGTGGTCCATGGAGTATACTGTTCATTTGCCTGCTTAGAATGGCAGAGCTTAACTGGAAATGCCCACAACTGAACCTGGGGCTGTCATTGAACTGTGTAACACATGAATTCTCACCCATGTAGGTGGAATGCATTGTCATACATAACGCAGAATCTTGCGACCTCTTGGGATAAGAGGTTTACTTTGATTCATTTTTTTTTCATGGGACTAGAATCCAGTTAATTAGATCAATGTTGTGTTTTCCTTGATTGGGGCATAAGCATATGAGGGAGTGTGTGGTAGTGGAGAGGCCAAAACTCCACAAAATGCAAAAAGTATAGTCTGTGGCATTTCCATATACAACTCAAATGTATGCAAGACCATTCACAACAGCAACAGCTATAGAGGGAGAGGAAACTCTGGTCCTGATTGAAGCTGAACCTAATGGAATGGTACCCTTCAAATCAACATGAAAATGTCATGGGAGATTGAACTGTTCTCCTTGTTCTTTATGTAGCTGATAAAGCGGCTTTAGTATCCAAAGGCTTTTACCTCAGTAAATTGGTTAGGCTTTAGGGCAAGGGTGGGAAACCTTCTCCAGTTTGAAGGCCACATTCCCTCATGGGTCACTTCTTGGCAGCCACCTGTCAATGGAATGCAGGACCAGAGCCAAAAGTGGGCAGAAGAACGGATATGACAGCAGCCAGGCAAAAGTTGGACTAGGAGGGGTTGCAGCTTAGTAATGAGACATGGCTTGGGTACAGTCTTGAGGGCCCCGTAGAGAGGCTTGGAGTGCTGCATTTTGCTCCCAAATCCTGACATTCACCACCCATGCCTTAAGGCAGGCATGGCCAAACTTGGCCCTCCAGATGTTTCGGGACTACAACTCCCACCATCCCTAGCTAACAGGACCAATGGTCAGGGATGATGGGAATTGTAGTCCCAAAACATCTGGAGGGCCAGGTTTGGCCATGCCTGCCTTCAGGTATCACAAGACTGTCTCCCCACCCAAATTTCCTGTAATGGCAACACTGAATTGTATAATACAGTCTTCCACCTTTACCGTAATACCACCTCTGCAATTCTCAGGATGTCTGAATTATAGAGCAATTTAACTGGCTTCTTCATGGCATCCCACTTAAATGGGCTTATATACCTCTGGCCTGTGAACTGCCCTCTACAGAAGATGAAGGTCTAGATCAAGCACCCTGTCTCTCATTTCCTTTACTGCACCAAAGGAATTCAGCGTTTGGCTCTTTCTGGACAAATATGCATACATAATCTTCCTTTGAAAGCTGACAGCTACGCTGAGCCATTATGCCTTCAAAATCTCTCTGCATGTAATGCAGATATCCTACTCCCAGAGCTAGCATGTTGGACTTTGAGAGGTATTTATCTCCCCAGGAACTCTGTTTAATTTAATATTGGATTCTGTTGCTAATGTCTGTAAGAGTCCTCAGAAGGCAATATTTATAGATGTAGCTCCTTCACTGGCTGTGTCCTGCTTCCAGGCCGTGAGGGATGGGCAGTCATATAGCTCTCATTAACAGTAATATGTTTGGCAGTTTGGAATGAATGGACAAGGCTCATGGCTTTTATGGCACCATGCAGACTCTTGGAATGGGCTGTTTTTAGAGGAGACAAGATTATTGAATTTATGGCAACTCTCTAGTCTCTTCTCACTTGACTGAAGTTGTTGCGCGGAGGCCTTTCTTATATATATTTTCAGCAGGATAATTTTTTTTTTAAAAAAAAATTGTTTTCTCTGCGTGTACTGGAGCTCTCCTTCTCATCTTGAATATCATTGTGCTTTCTTGCAGGCTGTGACCTCATGAACCATGGCATCCTGGCTCTTGTCAGCTCCATTGGCTGTACGTCAGCAGGATCCCTCCAGTCCTTGGCAGATGCTATGCACATCCCTCACCTCTTCATCCAGCGGTCAACAGCTGGGACTCCAAGGAGTGGCTGTGGGACCACCAGGAGCAACAGGAATGATGACTACACACTCTTTGTACGCCCGCCTGTCTATATCAATGATGTTATCTTGAGGGTGGTCACAGAATATGCCTGGCAGAAGTTCATCATTTTCTATGATAGCGAGTACGGTAAGTGTTTACTCTGTGTCTCTCTTTATGTATGTAAGGGGTAATTGTTATCGTCAAATCTGTGTAATACTATTAAACGCAATTGCATTAAGATCCTTAAAATCTTCCACTAGATTACATCCATCTCTAAGCATTTTATGACAGCATTAGCATTTCACATAATCCTTAGAATTAAAAACGTAAAAAAAACAAAAACCCACAGCCCTTTGCGATTTCTGAAAGCCATCAACTTTTATGGCTTTCCTTGATAATGCCTTTGATAAGTGCCAAATGGAGTAGCTAAGGGTATTTTTTTTTCATATGTGACGCTAAGAAAGCATTTTGGGTGCCTCTTATTTGATTTTCTAACTTAGAAAAATAGCCATCCTATGTGAATGATTCTGCCTTTGTTTTGGAATATCTACATATTATGCCTATATGGGTTTATTGTACTCCATCTTCACCGTCTGCACAACTCACCCTGTGTTTTGTCTTGAGGTAAGCTTGCAACCAGCTGTAACAGTGATAAATATTCACTTTTTTAGTTTTAACACCTGTATTTCAAAATATAATAATTACATTGAAAAAAATAAGAAGAGCATTTCCCCACTCTTATATCATGTCACGTATGAATGTTGTTCAGACAGGAACATGTCTGCAAAAAAAAAATGAATCAACATCCCAGCCAAACCGGGATATTTTTTAACTTTCCTCTTTAGAGCCAATTTAAAATAAAGTCGACAAAAGTACAAAATGACCCATCTTTCATCTAGCTCCCATCTTTGCAGTATTTATGAAGTGTCTTTGTGTCAGTATGAGGAAATTGACTTTAAAATGTCAATTTAGATGGCAGTATGTATGATGTAAGGGACACGGGTGGCGCTGTGGGTTAAACCACAGAGCCTAGGACTTGCTGATCAGAAGGTCGGCGGTTCGAATCCCCATGACGGGATGAGCTCCCGTTGCTCGGTCCCTGCTCCTGCCAACCTAGCAGTTCAAAAGTACGTCAAAGTGCAAGTAGATAAATAGATACCGCTCCTGTAAATGGCGTTTCTGTGCGCTGCTCTGGTTCGCCAGAAGCGGCTTAGTCATGCTGGCCACATGACCCGGAAGCTGTACACCGGCTCCCTCGACCAATAAAGCGAGATGAGTGCCGGAACCCCAGAGTCGGTCACGACTGGACCTAATGGTCAGGGGTCCCTTTACCTTTATATATGATGTAGTCGGAGATGGGGACCTGTGAGCTTCCAGATGTTATTGGACTACAACACTCATCATCCCCAGCCAGGCTGGCAAATGGTCATAGATGATGGGAGTTGTAGATGAGCAGCAGGTTTGCTGTAGTTGGCTATCTTCAAACTTTGCATTGCATGAAGCTGGGCAGCAAATCTGCTTCTTACCCTAGGCATTGTTGTCAATTTGGTGGCTCTTCTAGCATTATCTGATGTACTCCATTCCATTAAAAAGATGGAAAAGAAGAAGATAAAATATAGAAAGGAGCAGGATCCTGCTGCTTTGCTACTTTGTATTGTAATTTTAAGCTGGTATAAACTTTGAGAACCATTGAAATTCCTGGTCATGATATTATGTCAGGATACATCAGTCAAGCATGCTGTTCTGTCCTGGCTGCAATTGGTTTTTTATTTTGTTTTTATAATTATAACTACTTCATCTGTTTTTTTATATTTGGACAGTGTATTGTTCTAACCTGACCTGGGACCTTATGGTGAAGGGTGGTTAAGAAATATTTTAATAAAATTAATAGGGAGGTAGGAACTGTACATGTGGCTCACTGATTACTACATACTTAAATTAATAGATGTAGGATATCAGTTTAGATAAGCAAATCATTGGTGTCACATAGCTAAGCAACAGAGCTCACATATTTTCATCACAATAATCCAATATTGCTCAACCAATCTATACCGACTCTGTCATTTTAAAGGCCTGAGTGGTAGGAATGCTTTGTTTAACAAGACTTACATACCAAGATGGAGTGATGGTAACATTCGAAAGAAATACCTAAAGTAGAAAAAAACACATTATTGTTCAACTTCTGACATAAGATAAAATAGTCACGTGGAGTCCCCATGCCAGCTATACAACCCATCAATGTCATTCCAGCCAAGCCTGGCTGGATACTGGTCTCTCAGGAGCCTGTCAGTGCCTCTACTCAGATTGCTAGAAAGAGAGCCACAGTGAATTCGTTGTGAAATGCTTCCCTTCTGAAGATTAAGCTTGTGGTACTGAAGCTCATTCAGATAATGGAAATAACGATAACAAGTATTATTGAGAATGGACCCTGAGTGTTTTACTGAATAAGGCACAACAACTCATCAAATGCATAGCTACAATACAGTGGTACCTCAGGTTACATACACTTCAGGTTACATACGCTTCAGGTTAAAGACTCCGCTAACCCAGAAACAGTGCTTCAGGTTAAGAAATTTGCTTCAGGATGAGAACAGAAATCAGGCTCCGGCAACGCGGCAGCAGCAGGAGGCCCCATTAGCTAAAGTGGTGCTTCAGGTTAAGAACAGTTTCAGGTTAAGAACGGACCTCCAGAACGAATTAAGTACTTAACCCGAGGTACCACTGTATGTGCACATTGACCCCTGTTGATCTCACTGAACCTCAATTCCAGGTTAAAATAACATTAGGAAGGGACTGTTTGTACAAATTTCATCATAATGGGACTTATTTTTATTTTATTTATATCCCACCTTTCCTCCCAGAAGCCCAAGGTGGCATACTTGGTTCTCCTGTTCAGCTTTTCCCCTCAAAACAACCTTGTAAGATAAGTTAGACTGAAATACAGCAACTGGCCCAAAATCACCCAGTGTGCTTCATGCCTGAGTGGTGAGTTGAACCCTAGACTTCCAGGGACATCATTGGGAAAAGAAAAGGCTAAGGAGTAAAGCCTACGCAAATCTGGAGTGGAGTCCCCAAAATGGTTGGATGGCTTCTTGTACTCCTCCATCCGGCAATACCTGCAGCCAAGCTGGTGGCAAATGAATTGCTCTGCTTTCCTTTAGACCACATCAGCAAGGCTGGGGGGGGGGGTCTTGTCATCTGGGTAGTGCAGGACCTTCATACACACTGCCCAGGCTTCCACCTTGAAGAGATCACTTTGGTGCTACTAATACAGCAAAAACAATGCTGGAGGCAGCAGTTATGAGCTACCAGTCTCTGCAGCAACAGCAGGAACTGTGATTCTCTGGCGGTTTGGCTTCAACCCCAGTGGTGCACACCATTGTCTTTGAGGCAGGTGGTTGCCCACAACAATTTGTTAGTTGAGAGCCAGTGTGGTGTAGTGGTTAAGAGCGATAGACTTGTAATCTGGGGAACCAGGTTTGTGTCTCCGTTCCTCCACATGCAGCTGCTGGGTGACCTTGGGCTAGTCACACTTCTTTGAAGTCTCTCAGCCTCACTCACCTCACGGAGTGTTTGTTGTGGGGGAGGAAGGGAAAGGAGAATGTTATCAGCTTTGAGACTCCTTTGGGTAGTGATAAAGCGGGATATCAAGCCCAAACTCTTCTTCTTCTAATACAGGGCAGCTTCTATGTGACTTACAATCATGTTTACAAACATGCACTACTCTTTTTTAAAAAAATACGCACACCAATGGCTATCAAAATTTAACAACAAATCGATACCTAAAACAACAGCAGCTGTAACAGAAAGCAAGCAAACAAAAAACTTATCAGCAGCCCACAGAGACGCTGCTATAAAGCCTTAACACAGCTGGATCATATTCCATCAAACGCTTGGGGGAGGAAATTCTTTTCCTGGCACCAAAAAGATGGCAGTGTTTTGTTTTTAAAGTGAACATTGTTAGACTGAATTACATATTGGTAATAAGAAGACTTGTGTTTACATTTCCTTTATTAGAAATAATGCACCTTCTTTGCTCACGTTATTTAATTTCTCAGTTTTAAAGAAAATACTTAGCTGGCATTACTGAAATTATTCCCAGCAATATTCTTGCTGCATGAGGAAAATAAGCTTTTTGGTGTTTACGGTGAATCTCACTACAATAAAACTGGGCTTGCATCCAGAATAAATATTATGCTCATCCAAATACCTCACATTATACAAAGGTACTGCATTCATTTGCATATCCATTTATCAATGTCATAGGTTTTAAGTTCAATACACTGGAATTGCATTTGACTTTTATCTTGTCTATCAGTGATTGCCTTTCATTAGAGAAGTGATGGGGCCTAATTTATATTTGGAATTATGTATTTCTGCAGTGCAAAGTGTTATTTGCATTCTGTTCTGCTTTGTAAAATAGCAAAAAGTCTGTCTGAATGCAACTGGACCTATTCATTTGATTTATTAAGGGGGCAAAAGAGAACAGTTCTTATTATTTCTGGTTGATAGAAGACTCCAGTCTACTTAAAATTATCTTGCCAGCAAAGAAAATAGAAGCCTTCGAAAGATGTTATTATTTCCATATAAGTCCTAATTAGCTGGCTGAAAGGGAAATGATTCTGAAAGCTCACTTCAGATCCACATATAAGCAATACCTTCCATTGACAGTGCATTTCAAATGAAACGTTAAATTGTGATGAGTATGGGAAACAAATAAAAACATTTGCCTAATAGAAATTGGAGCATCCATTCTAAATAAGTTAGCATAATAGGATAGGGGTCATCATCATATTGGTGGGAAATGTTTAACGCATCTAGGTTTTTCAACAAATGTTTCCAATATAGTCAGTTTCTGTGTCACACATTAGAACAACCTCCCCACCAGATAGTGATGGACTCCAACTCCCATCAGTCCCAGTCAGCATGGCCAATGGTAAAGGATGATGGGAGTTGTAGCCCAACAACTTCTGGAGGGCACTGGTTGGAGAATGGATGCACTAACAGGGAACATCACATTAAAATATAAGGCTTTGCAACAGAAGCTAGCTTTGTTCTCAGCGCGTCTCGTTTGTGATATGATTCAGATGGGTCAAAACCTTCCCTTAACTCCAGACACCAATTGATTGGTTCATTTGGTTTATTTG